CAGCACTCTGATCTGGGAGCTGAGTACTGGTATTTGAATTTTGTACTCTCTTGCAGCTGACAGAGAACTGTACCTGTTGTTTTCCAGAGTTGGAGAAACAACCCCATAGGGAGGCTAAAGGTGGCATTTCAGGGGGAGGGAAGAGACTAGGGAAGCCAAGATAGGAGATACACTGAAGCCACCGCAGGGTCTTTCCCTCCTGTCTGAAACATTGTCAGAACAGAAAAAGGTCATCCTACAGAGAGAGTGTTGAGATAAAGATTGCATGCACCACTCTTCTGGCCCTGTACTGGATGAGCATGTGAGCCTCTAAATTCAGCAACTCTCATGCATCTCAATTGGACTGCACCTTTACAGACTTGAAATGTAAACCAAATACTTTGCTAAGCAGGCAGGTTCCAGCATGTAGCTTCTGGTTCTTGAAACATAAAAAAGAACCAGGTTTTAGACTGACTGATTTTGCTGCTATGGGAAGGAGGCATGAGATAGTATTCAGAAACATACTTTGCAAGCATGGGTAAAACCTCAGGATCCCCAGTTTAAAAGGATCCAGTAGCATGCAAGAACCTGAAAAATCACTGCCAGTCACAGCAGTGTTAGGCAAGATGCAAATTATATATATTGGTACACTTTAATTCCCAAAGCTCCTAGTTTGGTACCTGAGCCTCATTAACAACAGTCAGTCTTGCCAGCAGAGACCAACTGCAGTTTCCAACATAGGCTTTGTACCAGTGGAAAAGTACTTCCATTCATCTAATGAGGGACCTTCAATTCTTACGGGTCCTCTGTCTGTTGCTGTCCCTGGCTTATAAGTGATCATCCTGATGTTGCTCCATTTCATTGTCTTTTTCTCTAATACTTGTTCTAAGCCGAAATTGTTTCATTGTATTATATACTTTCAAGTGTGTATTTCAGTATTTTGACATCAACTAAGTAGGAATGTTGTCTTAAGATGCACACAAGTACTATTCCTAAGGAATACCCAAATAATCACACTGTTTGAGAGTCCCCAACTCTCAGAGCAGCTTTCCAGAAGGCAGGGTTAGAACTGCAGCAGATAAAGACATCAAGTATATTTTGATCTATTTTCACATAAGTTGACTTTATGGCAAAATCCAGACTTAAAAATTGGTAAGAATATGTTTTTGCAGTGAACTTAAATGGATAAATTAATCCTTACTTTGAATCAATAAGTAGAGAGGAAGACAAGGATTAGTTTGCCATTTTTGAAGATGCATGCCAGATAAAATTAGCCTACTATGGGTGAACAAGAATACTTGCAATTACAATACCTGTTTCACTAAAAGTTGGCCCCACAGCTTTTAAAGACTCGAAACTTCTCAGCTACTGGAAACATTTTAAGGCTGATCAGTCATATTAACCCAGGATCCAGATTTCCAAATACTCAATGGGAATGAATGTGATATGGAGGGTTTTAAGCAGAATACAATGGGTAATAGGACTGCCCTATACCAACCTGTCAATGGATTTTTGTTCTAGCATCTATATGCTTTCAGGAGGAGTACAACCCTTCCAGAGCAAGATGAATCTCAATTCCCAAGTGTGACTTTCTTCTGAAAAGCAGCACCTTCAGCTTTCTCTGAATTTGTCTAAATTTGTCTAATCCAACCCTTTACAAATCCCAGGCAATATTCAAGGAAATCAACCACACCCCTGATGTTGGGTGTACAAAAGAGCAGTAGAGCCAGTGTCATCTTCATATTGGTGACACCTAACACCCAAGTTCTGTCTGACTTCGCACAGCAATTTCATGTAGATATCAAAAACAGGGAACAAGGTAGACCCATATGGGAATAATAGGCACAGGTGTTTAAGAGCCAACTGCTTAACACTATATTACAAAGAACACACCTGACCTGATAGGTGATCTACAAGAATGCTATAGTTAATGGTACTGAAAACCACTGAGAAGTCCAGGATTACTAACAGGATTGCATTTCCTCTACCCAATTTCTGGTGCAGATCAAGTCAACCAAAGGAGTCTCAGTTCCATATCCTGGCCAGAAACTCATGGAAATGTATCCAGAGAATCAGTATCCAGATGTACCTGGAATTGTAATGGCACCAGTTGCAATTTCTTCAATCACCATGGCCAGAAATTGTACATTTAAGACAGGTATATACTTAATTTCTGGGTCAAGGGAAGGTTTCTTTAATAAAGTGATTACTGCCTCCTTTGATCAAGCAGGGAGAGCTTCTGCCCACAAAAAAGCATTAATCACCTGTTAACCATGGCAACAGTTCTGCCTTGGTTGATTTCATCATCCAGGAGGCAAAATGGTCAATTAAAGAGATGGTAGTCCTTACCACAACTGATACCCTGCCTAAATTATTGAGATTTACAAGTTGAAAAAGCACCCAACACAATAGGGAAAGAAGTTACCAAAGTTTCACTCACCTGACCTAACACTGTTATGGCAGACTGGAGAAGCAACTTTATCCCCAAAGTGGGAGCCATGATCAGCAGAAATAACTGCAAAAGATATCCTTTTATATTCAAATAGTTTCAAGTTCAATAAAGACAAATAACTTCATTAGAAGATACCAAGTGGAAACCACAAGTAGCATCTGAACCATGTCAGAGATTTACTGTGTGATACATTTGGCCTCCATGTAACTATGGAGAGAAGTGACAGTGGGTAAGCTCAAACATAACACTAAGAAATACCTTGTGGCATTCCCTGAGCATGGAATCTCACCTTCTGTCCTGGGTTCTCACAGTCACATGTTAAACTACTTCATAGAAGTAGTTTCCACACATCATCTCCATCTTCCCTCCAAATGGCAGCATGTGTCCCATCAGTCCCTGTGGCTGAGAATAATTCCCAGGATGCAACAGTCCTGCCTGCCCCACCACATGCTCCCATCGGTGTGTTCTCAGCCAGTCATCACTTTCCCCTTCTGTTTTACAAAGTCACCACCTTCCCATTTGAGCACCTGCTGCTGCTGTAGTGAGTGAACCTGACTGCCACTCCTTGAGGGCAACCTAGGGTCATCATAACTGAAGATGAGAACCTTGAAGATTCAGAGATGGTAGTATAGGGATTTCAGAGAGACGCAGAGGCCTTTGAAGCGAGGCCTCAAGGTTGCCTACAGGTTCCCAGGCTGACCAGGTGAGCAGGAATATTTTGGAAGAGATGGGAGGGATTAATGAAGTAGAAGAGGGAGAGTCCTAGCCTTGCCCATTCCCCACTCCATACAAGGTGCTGGGAGAGGCAAGTTGCCCAGTTAGAGGGTTTTGCCTAAATCTTGCTGGCTGGCCCTTCACCAGCAGGGACCACCCTGAGGGTGGAGCCCACATAGTTACTGAAAGAAGGATCTTGGGGAAGAAGTGTCCACTTTTCTTGGTATGAGCAGAGGCGAATCTTCCAACTCACTAGAGGGTTTTTAGAGTTGCTTTGCCTTGTAGCTGGAAAGTGACAATAAAGATCTGCATTACAAAGACACTATGTGGTGTTTTGGAGCCTAAGGACAAGGCGGCTAGGGCCAAGCTCAGGACAGCTCCTGCTATACCCCCTGCAAATGTATACGGTCCCACTCACATACCTCTCCCCTCTCCCTCACTGCACATATGCCCAAAGCTCCCCCCACAATATGGAGCATCTGCACACACTGCCAGGACTGCCTTCCCCTGGCAGTTCAGCACACAGTGGAAAGCAGCATGGGCACCAGTGCCAGGCACAGAGGAAGAGTGCTTCGCAGACCAGGCCTCCCTGAGAGTGCCTCCCCTGGGGAACTCTGCTGGCAGAATAGCAGAAAGGGGGCAGGGAGTGTGGGGAAACCCCCCAGATTGTTGTGGACAGGGTGGGTCCAGGGCAGAGGAGGGGGGAAGACAGTAGGAAGCACAGGCTGCCTGGAATGCTCACCCCTATAGCAATGCCCCACATGCTGCCCATGTGATCCTTGTGAGTAGGGCAGGAGGCTTGGAGGGAGACCAGGGCTTCCCTGCATAACCACAGCATTTAGCATGTGTAGACATTGTCATAGTGAAATTGCAAGAGAGCTAGTGAAGCTTCTATTCATACCAACAGAATTCAATTTAACCTGCAGATCTTCTAGGCCGAGTATTACATTTCCTGCATACTGAAGAGACAGAAAGTACACACCAGAGTCTGAAAACTGCTTTTTATCTTGTCAGGTGTCAAAGAAAGTTATGGCCCAAACAGACTCCTATAGAGGTGCTCTTGTCAGAACTATCCAATGACTCATTTTGCATACCCTGGAATCCTGCATGTATGAGATCAAACACTAACAATTCTTGTTTTAGTTTGTTCTAACAACTACCATACTCACTATAGCATGTTTCATCTGCCCTTGTCAAAAAGTTGCAAAGTTGGAATACACTAGCTAAGAACTTTATTGGAAAAAACAAATCAAAGCTACAGCTGACTTCAAATGCTTCAAAAGTCACATACATTCCCAGCTAGTTATACAAAAGGTTTTGAAAACTCCTGAAAGAGTATTAACTCAATTTTTCCTGGCAGGGGTGTCGAGCAGAGGAGCATGGAGATCAGTCTCTATTACATAGTCCAAGACATTTTCTGACATCTGGCAAAGAGCCTAAGCTAGATGAGTAACTGAGCAATACCTCTGGCTATTCATTTTCAGCAAATAAGCTTTAGTGTCAACTGCCTTGCAGAATACACGTTTTAAGTCACGGATCTGTCTTGATAACTTGAAAGTTTTCACCAGCTCACAACACTTGGCAGTTTTGCCCTCTAATATTTCCGGGGGAGGTGGGGAGCTTCATTGCGGTTGCTGCCCACTTTAAAGCAAGTATACTCCAACATTACGACTCGGTTACCCATGATTTACTCCTTACTTGAAAAACAGTTACAGTCAACAAAACCAATCCTCAAATCACCGAGAAGTTCGCTTTTACCCTCTTATTACTATGGAAACTAGCTCTGAACGTAGGGGCCTGCCAAAAAAAAAAAAAAGGAAGGAAGAAAGGAAGAAATCTGAAAATGGTTCTTTACCTTGTGGAATCTGTAAATTAGCAGGTAATTGTATTGTTGTCTGCGGGGTTTTAGATGCGGCCGGGAGAGGGACTGGCAGCTTCACGTCCACGCCGGAAGGCTTGGGGAGTTGCTGAAGCGGAGCCGTCGGAACTCCTTTGCCCACTAAAGTCTCCACTGGAGCAGCAGGCATAGCTCGGGGCTGCACCAATCGAAGAGGAACTTTTCCGCCAGCGGGATTAGAGGTAACGGCTGGCTTCTCCGAGGGAGTTACCGGGCAAGAGACAGACGGAACTATGCTCTGAGCAGGTGATACAGCCGGAGCCAGGCGGCGTCCGTCCGCTCCGTTGACTGGAGGGCCCGCCCGCAGGGCAGCGTTCTCAGGAGGCCCTGGAGGCATGACCCTTTCCAGGGCTGGTGCTGCGGCCACCGCCGGCGGGGTAGTCATGGAGGAAGAGGTCGGCACCGAAGGGTACAGGACTACAGCTTGCAGCACAGTCCAAGCTACTCCACAGCATAGCAGCCTCCAAGGGTGCCCGGGGGCTGCGCGAAGGCTCCGCGGCCGACGATGCGGCAAAGGCAGCAAGGGGATCCCCAGCGCACAAGCTGCCTCCCCGGCCAGACCGCTCCGACACCCGGCAGATGCTACTGACACGCTTGCAAAAAACACATGGTCATGCATCCGCTGCCGGGTTTTCTCTTCCTCTTCGCAGGAGCACACGTGGGCGCCCAGGCCGGTACTGCTGCAGCCGCCGCAAGCTTTCCGGCTCCTTAACACCTGGCGCCGAGAGGAAGAAACCAGCACATGTTGCCGGCGCTGTTGCTGCTCTCTTCGGCAACGCCCTACCGCCACCAGCCACTCCCAGTCCCCACGCCTCTAACAGCACCAGCGGGACAGCCTTGCTTTCAGCGCTATTTATGTAGCCATGCAGAGTCCCCGCGCACGCGCCTCGAATCTTCTACCAAATCCAGCGATCTCATTGGCGGGGCTGTGCAACGTCACGGCGCGCGTGTCTCAGAAGGAGAGTGATGTGCGCGGAGAGCGCCCGCAGACTCCGGCTGGGGAAGGCGTCGGAGGAAGGGGCGGCGGGCGGCTTCCTGGTGGCGGGAAGGGCGAAAGGGTGAACCTGATGCATGCTGTGATGCGAGCGTGGAAGGAATGTCGCTGGTCGCTTTTCTTGCATGGAAAATGAGGGAAGGGGAATTATCCGCGAGTTTAGGGATGAGCTCGGAGGGACATGCGGAACACGTGATCGAGGCGGATGAGAGAGGGTGGGGACGTGGTCAAAAAGAAAATGGGGATACCTGAAGGTGGGGATTTTGCTGATGGCCTTTCTCAGGAAGAGAAAATCAAGGGAGTGGGTTGTAATTGTCAGTTGCACAGGATGTGAAGTTAGGAGTTGTGACTGAATTAATGGAGAAGATGTTGCAGTTTTCATTTGGAAGACTGTGTTTTGAGGAATTGGAATCTCAGCCGTTTCATTTGAGTAATTTGCAGTGGATATCCAAATTTTAGCCGATTATTCTGAAGTTTTGAGAGTTGTTAATCTATAATATGTTAGTTTATAATTTGAGAATGCTCCAGTGTCTCAGGTGTAGGAAATGTTGGGATATATATTTATTTGCATTTTATCAGTTGCATTTTATCTTGCTATTATAGTTGTGGATTGTTTATATTTATTATATAAATTACATTGTAAGCCATCCTGCAATGATTGGTTTGTATAGGATGGGATAAAAATTTTCTAAACAAATAAAAATAAAAATTTGTAGATCTTTGCTTTATGGTGTACACAGATAATGCCAAGGATATTTCTAATGTAGCATGGATTCAACCTACTCTATTTTTCGCTCTATAAGACGCACCTGACCATAAGACGCACCTAGTCTTTAGAGGAGAGATCCATGGAAAGCTTCCTGATAATCACAAGCACATTCCCCATCCCTTCCCCATGGGCTTCATTAAAAGATGGGTTGCCATTTGAAAACACACTCTGACCCGTGATTAACAGCCCTCACCTGCACCAGAGGAGAGGGGCGGAGCAGGGCACGCCAAGCGTGTGCCGGCCAGGTGTGGTGCAGCAGGGCCGGCAGCGTGCCGGTGGTGGTCTTCCGGGCGGCACAGCGGCAGCAGGTCTTCCTGGGCGGTGGGGGTGAGCAGTCCGTCTCTCCGTGCGGCCGGCGGGTTAAAGCCTGCAGCTCCTCCTCCTCCGCACCGCTCCCCCTGAGCAGCACAGCTCTCACCTGTGCCGGAGGGAGTGGGTGGGTGGAGCAGCGCGTGCCGAGCGCATGCTGGCCAGGTGGTGCCACGTGGTGCAGGCGGGCCAGCAGTATCCCGGGCATTGGGCGCACACACATTCGCTCTATAAGACGCACAGACATTTCCCCTTACGCGTCTTACAGAGCAAAAAATACGGTATTTCATCCCTAGCTTTGGGATCCAAAAAGATTTCATTTGTCCAATAGGGTATCAGTTATGGCAACCAAGCTAAGATGCAAGACCTATCAGCTTCTCTTTCAAGATTGTCAGCTTGTCTGTCTGGTAGCATGACTTGTGAGAATGTGATAGTAAATGAGAATGAATGTATTCTATGAATACAGAACTTAGCATGATGGAATTTGGTTGTGTTTTGTGTACCTGCTCACATGGGTTTTGTGGTCAGCTGATCTGGAAGACAGCAGCCTGGGAAAGGCTTCGCTGCTGGATCTCTATGTGATTTTAATAGTCACATGGGTGAGAGTACTAGAAGCCCATCCTTTGACTTGAAATTATTCCTTGGATTGGCTATTCTTACTGCACCTGGATGATTGTATCCAATATTATATTGTATCCAGTATTAGTCCCATTCATTTCAGTGGGGCGACTCCAAGTAGAAGTTGCAACTGGATACAACCCCAACAAGTTTTCAGTTTGCGGTTTCTCCATTTCTGGAAAGCAGTGTTTATCTGCCAGCTGACTAGTCATGTGCTGCTGCATGATAGTTGAAGGGATTGTTGGTTCAGCAGTAGCAAGTCTCGGATATGATTATAGAGCAGGGAGATTGAGTTTGTTTCAACCCCAGAGTGATGGAAATTTCATGTTGGAGAAGTTTTGCAGGAGTCATTCCAATAGTGCCCAAGACAGGACTGGCAATACAAGCATATTTCAGTTTAAACCTCTCATCACCAGCAACTAGACCTCAGGAGAGGCATTTCAGCCTGTTAGAATATGAAAGTGGGTACACAAAGCTTGGAAGGGTGGCCTTCTGGAGAATCTGAGAGGACTGGATTGGGCCCCTAAACCTGAGGTTCTGCAACCCTGCTGTCTCTTCCAGGCTCTCGTTGAGTTCCTGCTCTAGGGAGTTGCCTGGACTAGGGTCTCCTCTCCCTCAAGCTGTTCTCATGTGAAAGGTAGTCTCTTGTACCTACCCAGTAGTCTTAATGTTCTGCCTTCCCCTGCAAACCTTGGGTTGACAAGGGGGAAGTATCAAACAGTCAGGGGGAAGCTCAGGCAAGCAGTGTGTAGACTTTCAGGCCTGCTGTATCTGGAATGAGAATGTCTGAAGGCTTTGCTGGAACACTGGATTCTACAAGGTCACTGGTGGTGCTAGAATTCGCTGCACAGGCATGAGGAGGCTCCTCTTGCAAGGAGAGTCCAGGTGCCAAAGCTGGCAAGGCTGAACCTGAACACCTAAAGAATCCTTTCAATGGTCGTGATGTACTCTTATCTGGGAGTAAGTCCCATTCATTTCAGTGGGACAGACTTATGAGTAGACGTTCATAGGATTGTGCTGTTGATTACCATGTGCAAAACTAGAATACTCATCTTGTCCTAAAATATTTACTGCATTATATAATCAGTTAATTGCTTAAGCTATCCTTGGTTAACACAGGCTAGAATTTTCTGCTTCTCTGAACTAAGAATTCCTAATTAATGAATCGAAATCTAGAATAATCTGATTGATTACATATAAATAAAATGTTTCTTCCACCAACAAAAGAATTGCTCGCTTATTATGTCCAAGTGATATTGTTTGACTCACATTCTTCTGAATAGAAATTCAGCAGAATAGGGCTTTCTATCTGCAGTGCGCAGGTCCTATGAATTCATTTTTAATAATATGAGTCCCTTGATCTAAGCTACCGGAAAAAAGCAATTACAATATAATTGTAGGTATTCTTTTTTCTATCCACTTGTGCAATGCATCTAAATTCTCCATAATGAGAACAAAAAAACCCTAAGAGGTACAAGGTTTTTCACAGCTCTGGGACACTGTGAACATGTCACAGTTACTACTTAATTATTGAAAGTGCACTTGGAATCAAGTACCAGATATTGTGATAAGTAAATAAACTATATCAACAGCATGAGAATTGGGAGCAGGGAGTTGTATAAGAAGCAAAAAATAAGCAAATGTTTAGTTTAGTTTGAATTTTGCATGTTACCTTGGCTCCCTTGTCCAATGGAAATACATGGATAATAAAAAAATGAACACAATAAACCAGCCTATAAATGAATTGACAAATCTAGTTTCCCTTTATTGATTTTTATAATTTATCCACTCCTTGGTGGCGAAAGCAAAGTGTTTATGATATCTGCTTAATGATTATTTCTAGGGAATATTCATGCAACATTTTGAAGATGTACAGTTTTCATCAGATATATAAGCCATTCCCCACCCAGTCATAGCTGCACAACCTGACTGCTGATTCAGTCGGTACACACTTTTCTGCCTTCCTGTTCACCTGACTTTGCAGCTTCATACTCAAGGAGCCCGAGAGAGACCATGGGAACTGGCCCAGTGTGAGCTTCAGGCAGAAATTCTAGGAATGGGTGTCAGATCATCTTGTTTTTCTGGCAGTTTGGAGAAAATGTTGGTCATCAATCTTGCAAAGGATTGCTTTGGATTGATCTTGCATTGTCAACTTTATCTGATCCAGCTCCTGTGCCTTGGACAATTGCTTGACTTCAACTCTATGTTAGGAAAAGTTTTTGCTCAGTCAGAAAAAAATGTTGGCTATCTCAGATAGGTGCATAAAGGGCAACTAGAAAAGACATTATGTCAAAATATTGTTTTCTGGGGACAGATTTGTGATATGAGGCTCATCCTACACACATACCATGATTCCATCACAGCATATCTTGTTTCTATACATTCACTTCCTTAGTTGCAGTAGGAGAGCCTTGTGTACTGGGGATGGGGTATGAAGGAGTTGGTTGTGGTCTTGCATCTTTAGTTCTGCTGTTGGCTGCCTGGTTGGTACTTATTGCCATCGCTCTCTCCGTTCTAAGAAGAACTTAGGCCAGCACATCAGAATGCAGAAGATGGCTTCACCTGTTCTAACATTGTTTCTGACTGGCTCCAGCGAATCTTACAACATCTGGACATTTATACACAGATATAGACATATCTATTTCCATATATACCTTTAAGCGTGATCTATATTTTGGTCCCTTCTTTTTCATCTCATCTGCAGCACGATTGTAGCCTAGACGTTGGGGGAAAGTACAAAATGTGCATCAGTAGGTGGGCTGCATGAGAGGAAAAGTGGGCAATCTTGCTTCAAAGCAGACCTAAATCATGCCACTCATTTTCATGAACAAAGATCACCTGTACCTTTTGTTTTTATTGACAAATCACCTTTTGAAAGAGTTATGAAAATCCAATTGGGAGAAAACAAAAATGTAGAGTCTCTTCTAGGCGATGTTCAGGGATTGTACATGCTGCACCTGGGCAGCAGGCAGCCCCTGCAATGTCGCTGCAGCTGAGATTTCAAATCCCTGAACTCATAGCTTCAGAAGTTCATGGTTGTGCAAGTGCAGTTTTTT